TATTTATTTATTATTATTTTTTTTCCTTCTTCTTACTACCTTTCTTTACCTTATAGAGTACTTGAGAAGAAACAGGATGGTTAGAGCATATTCCCAAGAACACACTTACAGGCACCCATGGGAACGAGTCACAGCAGCATCATGGCGCAAGTTTGCTGATGCAGAGAACAAACGCACTCTATCTCACATCCTTGAGGTCGACACTCTGAATCACAAGCTTGACCCTAGTTCAGGGAAGCTGTACACTACTCGAGCTATCACTATCCAAGCTCCAGGATCATGGTTTGTTCGCAAGATCATTGGTCAGGATATATGCCACTGTGTTGAATCAACTGTCGTCGATGCACAATATCGTTCAATGCAACTTGCAACCCGTAATATCAGTCTCCAGAGAGTCATTGAAGTGGAAGAGAAGATCAGGTACGACCCCCATCCGGAGAACCCAAATGAGTGGACCATTTGCAAGCAGGAAACGAGCATACGGATAAAGCCCATGTCAACTCTGGCATCAATGGCAGAGAAGATAGAGCAGAGATGTGTGGACAGATTCCAGCAGAATAGTGCCAAGGGTAGAGAGGTTATGGAGAGGATTTGCAAGTATCTTGAAGCTGAATCCCACGGGATTTATCTCAGATCTTGATTTCTAGCTCCGAGTTGGACTTTTTTGTGACAGTTTTAGTCGTAGGTTAAACAACCATGTCGCAACTTAACAAAAATGTGTTTTAGACTTGCGGTGATAATAGGCATGTGGAGAATTTGTCCTCCAAGTCATTTTTTTTTCTCTCCAAATCATAATCTTTGCTTTCTTATGGAATGACTCTTGGGGGTAGCAAATGTTCCTTGACATTCCACGAGGAGTGTAACAAATAAAGATAAGTGCTTGTTTGGTAATGCTATTCACCATGTGCTTATAAGTTAGTCAAAACGTTATTTTTTTCGTTATAGTTTCTAGTCGTAGACTAAACCATAATGTCGTAATTTAAATTAAACTGCATTATAGACTTCTAGTTGTAATAATTGATATATCCAAAGTACGCAATTTATTTTTTCTTGTACTATCCAGTCCTCAAATTTAAATGTGGATGGATGTCCAGAAAGATGAGAATTTATGCAATATAAGGCATGCTGTAAGACAGAAGCACAATTTACAAGCAGACTACAATAGTCTTATGGATGTTTAGAAATTGCATATACCACTCAAGACATGATCTCAATTGACACAAACCCAACCAAATCAGAATGTTGTCCACCAAACCTGAACATACAAAGTGATGGTGACATTTTCCAATATCCCCAATCA